AAATTTTATTGAGAATTTTGTTGAAACGGAAAAAATTACAAATTTTATCATAATGATTCGGATTTATGAATATAAATATTTTTTTTTTTGAAGACTAGATAATATTACATTTATTTATATACATATGTAACAAAGCGAAAAATTTAAGTTCACATAATCTAACCTATAATAAATTAGTTTATATCTCTATACTCGCTGCATTTTTACAATATTATTAAAAACATTTTTAAAATCATTTCGTATATCTTATAAACTTTTATTTTGTTTGTATGTTACTTATACTATTTGTTAGCTACTATATTTGCTTTTGTTCCTGGTTTCTAGTGTAACTACGTCATGCAGCTATCTTATTAATAAAATTATTGACTATTAGGATTATGAAATATCGAGATTATGGAACTATCGAGATTATAGAACTATCGAGATTATAGACTATTGGGATTATGGACTATTAGAATTATGAAACTATCAGGATTTTAAATTTCTGGATTTTATTTCGGGATTTTAGCATTGTTAGGTTTTGTGTATAACGATCGTGAGTAATAATTTATTTCGCAATCTTTTGAAAATTTTCGAAATTGTTATTTTTCGAAATATTTCGAAATAATTTGCGAAATTTTTCGGATTTCTTGCATCACGAAAATTCTTTCGAAAGATTTTACCATTTAAATTTGCTGATGAAGTAGTAATCTTCCTCCTACTTATTCTTCTTTCTTCTGAGTATTCCTCTAACAACTCTCCAAGATAGTATGCATAAGATAGTTGTTATTTTCTTTGAGAGGATCTGGTCCTTAATAGTTTTCTGTAAGTTGTGATGACTCTTTCTTGTAACTCCATAGAGTCAGTAGTAGGTCTTGAAATATAGTTAACATTTGAAGGAAATGTTACTAAAATATCAGAGAAAATATTTTGGAAATTTGTAAAAGATGTTTTTAGGAAGGAATGAGAGATTTAAAGGCTATTTTCATCACTCTGTTGAGTTATAATTATCTTAGGTTGCCACAAATTTCTATCATAGTACTTTTTTAGTAATAGAGTATTGTACAGTGCTTGTAGGACTGTTTCACTTTCTGTTTTCAAAATATAAATATTATGTGTTATTTTTTTATGTACAAGATAAGACCCTTTCCATTTTGGTAATAATTTGCCAGAGTAATGTTTATCTCTTATTGCATTGTATAACAGAACCTTATCTCCTATTTCAAAAATTGGTTTTACTTTCTTGTACTTTTTATCCCAATAAAATTTTTGTTGTTTTTGGACTTTTTTTAATATTATTCTTTGCTTGAATTCTTTGTTGAGGCACTTCTTCAATCAAAGAGTATAATCTAGTAGAAAGAGTCTCTTCTATAGGTTTTTCTATATTAAAAATTAGAAATTTTGCTTCTCTTCTATAGGTAAGGTAAAAAGGTGTGAACTTAGTAGTAGCTTGCTTTGCAGTTTGATAAGCAAATATAACTGATAGAATAAAAGTATTTTAATCTTTTTTATTATTAGATAATTTTGTTAGAGATTCACATAATATTCAATTAAATCTTTCTACTACTCTATTTGTTTGAGGATGATATAGAGTAGATAATAAATGTTTGATTTCAAATTTCTGCATGAGAGCTTTGACTAATTTATTATTGAAATGAGTTCTTCTATCAGATAGTAAGTATGAAGGACATCCATATCAACAGATTATATCTTTATAAATAAAATCTACTATATTTTTAGTATTAGCTTTAGATATAGCTTTAGCTTTAGGCTATTTAGTCATATAGTCAGTAGCAACTATAATATATTTGTTTTGTTGTATAGTAATTAGTAATGATCTAACAAAATCTATACCAATTTGATAAAAGATGCTTCTACAAAAATTGATTGAAAAGGTCTAGGTATTCAATATTTTTCTCACTTTTGACAAGTATCATATGTTTGAACATAATTTTTAATATGTTGATACATTTGTAGCTAAAAGTATTTATCTCTAATTTTCTCAAACATCTTATCTGTTCCAAAATGTGTTCAAATAGGGTGATTATGCATTAAGTAGAGAATAGGTTCTACTTTATATTTTTGGATTACTTTTAATTCTTGATAAGTTTTCTGTTTCCTTCAGTCTTGTTTGTAAAGTTAATTATTCTTGATAATATAGAATTTATTTTAAGATTCTAATTGTTTTTTTTGATTTCTTAAAAAATCAGTAGAAAAATTTGCTGTTTCTAAGAAATATTTAAGATTATAGTAGGTAATTATATCTATTTTTAAATGTTTGCTAGAATACTGACAACTTAGACTAAATTTTCTTTTATGTCAGCTTTAGAGAGTAAAAAATAAAATAGTAAGTTGAATAGAGCTCTAGTCTCACTCTATACTGTCCTAGACAACTAATAACTCTAAGTCTAGGAGAAGATTAAACTAATAATATAATATCCTATAGCTAATATATATATATTATATATATATATATATATATATATTTTTTTTTTTTTTTTTTTATGTTAAGTTAATTAAATATAAAATAAATATAAAATATAAATCAAACTAAATATAAATTCGAATTAATATTCATAAGTTGTTGGGTTAACAACTTTCTACCAAACTGTATTACAAAGATAATATTTAGAATAATTATTAAATTCAAGAAGATATTTTGGTGAAGACATTTGTAAAGGTAATAACTACTAGAAATATATTAATAAATGTTGTTCTAAACTTATCTCTTCAATATCTGAATAATAGTCAATATTCATACTAAAAGTATTAATTTCTTTATTAGCATCATAATTACTAAGAAGATATTCATTAATCAGTATTTCATTAAAAGGGATTTCAACAAAAGTATCATTGATAAGATTCATTTTAAAGGGCATTTTAAGTATAGTATTTTCTTTATCATCAGAGGCAGGAGTAGACTAATAACTTTTAGCAATTTCTTCTAAAGGATATTGCTAAATAGTAAGCTATAATTGTAGATCAATTTAGATTTAATATATTTATCACTGGGTAAGTATAATTTATTACTACACCAATATTGTGTAGCAGGTCCTTTTCAATTCCTTGACCAGGTATATTTTCTAATAGTTTGTTTTAACCAGAGACTAATGTATTCAATATAATACCAGGTACAGTATATTTTATTATAATGAATTCTATTTAAAGTAAACTCTATATCTTAATATGAAGTTAAACTATAATTTTTATATAAGATTAGTTCAAAGTTGTTATCATGTATTAGTAGTGATTAGAATTTATTAGAGTTAGAGGGTTTGCAGAAGATTTATTATCAATAGCCATCATAAAAACTTCTTCTTCATAATTTTTAAAAGCTTCATAATACTAAAGAAGTAAGTTTTCTGAACAACATACAAGTAATTTTTGTAAAGATACTTGTTTTAAGGTAATCTATGCTTTGCAATTAGCCTCATATTGATAACATTTGCTATTTTGTCTAAGCAAGATATTCCAACACCAGCATTGGGTATTAGAGCCTTTCCAACTTAAAGGTCTAGTTGCTTTTTCTTGAGTTTTCTTAAACTTCTTATTTAAGAAATAAATATAAGTCCAGTCAAATTCTACTTCATCATCAAATCTAAATTCAGTTTTTGATACTTCTATTTTATAATAAGGTTGAGTATTATATAAAGCTTGAGAAGATAATTGTGGTCTAAAAATATTAGATAATTGTTCTATTCTTTGATTTCTATATAAAAAAAATTCTAAATTTTTTTGAATAGTAGCTCGCAAAGCTTCTTCTTCTGAAGGTAGTTTACTATCATCAATGGATAACATATTAATAGATTTTTCATATATTCTTGATAATGTATTAGCATTACTATATTTTTTTATAGCACGATGAATTATTATAAAATTATAAGGTTCTAATCTCATAATCTATCTTGCTTTTTTCCTTTTTAATTCAGTTGTCCTTAACTATTTTAGAGCAGTATAGTCAGTAATAAGAAAGAATAGTTTAGCTCCAAAATATTGATGAAAATATTCAATTGTTCAAATTACAGCTAGATATTCTAACTTAGTAGTAGAATAATTTTGTTTAGCATTATTCAGACTTCTACTAGTATAAGCAATAACATATTCTTTGTTATCATTATCTAATTGTGATAGAACAGCTTCTAATCCTGAAGTCGAAGTATCAGTATGTAAATAGAAGTATCAATTGAAATTAGAATATCATAGAATAGAATCAGTTATAAGAAAATTTTTTAAAGTATTGAACACTTGTTCATGTTGTTCTGTTCAAAAGTATAGTTCATCTTTTTTTAGTAGTTGGTTTAAAGGTTTAGCAATTTTGGAAAATCTTTAAATAAATTATTAATAATAGAAGGCAATTCCTAAAAATCCTCTTAATTGTCTAAGGTTTGTTAGTATAGAAAAGTTTTTAATCTTTTCTACTAATCTTTCATCAATTCTAATTCCATCTTTTCCTACTATATATCCTAGAAATTTAATGTTATTTAAAAAGAAATAACATTTTGTCAAATTTAATTTAAGGTTAGCTTTTTGAAGAATAGTAAATATTTGTTGTACATGCTCAAGGTGTTGTTCAAAGGTTGAAGAATATATAGTTATATTATCTAAATATATAACTACAAATTTGTTGATATATGGACAAAAGATTCAATCTATTAAATATTGAAAAGTAGTAGGAGCATTTGTAAGTCTAAAAGGTATAACATTAAACTCATATGTTACAAATTTAGTAACAAATACAGTTTTCTTTTTATCTTCTTTTTTTACTGCAACTTACCAATATCCACTAGCCAAGTCTAAGCTAGTAAACCAAGAAGCTTCATTAAATAAACTTAAAACTTCTTGAATTATAGGTAAAGGATAAACATCTTTTTCTGTAATAGTATTAAGCTTTCTATAATTAATACAAAGTCTTTTTCTACTATCTTTTTTTGAGACAATTATTACTAAAGAAGACAGGGTCTATAAGATTTTCTAATAATTCCTTTTTCTTCTATTTCCTTGATTTCTTTTTGAAAGAATTCTTACTTATCAGGAGGGTATTGATATGCTTGTTGTTTAATAAGTCTGACTTTATCTGTATTTATTTCATAACAGATAATATTTGTTTGTTCTAATTGTTTAGATTGTCCTTCTTTTAAGATATTTTCAGAGAAAATATCAATATTATTTATTAAGAATTAGCTTGCTTGTTCTTGTTGCTCTTTAGTAAGTTCTTCATTTATATTGAATTTAGAATCATCTATAGTATAAATCTTTTCTTCTAATATCTGAGTTAGATAAAAAGCAAATATAGTTTCTCTATTAATCCAGGAATTATAGAATAATTCATCTACAACAGAAGACTATTCCTCAATATAATAGGTTTCAAATTTATCATCATCAATTTTATTAATTCATTAATTATCATCATCTTCATTATCAATTTTTTGATAAATAGAATTTAGACTACTAGTGTAAGTAGCATTAATAGTAGCTCTTTTGCCTAGATATCATATAGTTAAGATATTATTTTCAAAATCTAATTTAGTTCTAGATTTATTAAACCAGTTTGTTCCTAAAAGAAGAGTTTTATCCATCGACTCGATCTCTTGTAAGTTAACAGAGATTATAATATCTTAAATAGTAACTTTTACATTAGAAATTACTCCTAATGCTTTAGTACATTCACTATTAGTAGTTACAACTATAGTTCTTAAAGGTCCTTGGATATTTAGTCCTAGTTTCTTCATTAACCTTGCTGTAATAATACTAACAATAGCTCCAGAGTTAAGAATAGCTTAAATAGGATTTCTTTTGATTCTAATATAATATTTCATTACTGTAGTTTTCTTAAATTTTTCTGATTTAATAAGGTTTGCTTCTGTTAAAGGTTTTTTCATTTTTTGAATAATTTTAGCAAGGTTTTTTCATTGATTAGAGAATTTCATATTCAAAATATCAACAGAAATATTGTAAGATTTGATTTTATCAATAACAGATGGTTGAGTTTTATATCTAGTTTTTGGTCGATTTACTTTTGTAGTTAGTACTTCTTTAGATATTTTATTAGATATATCTTCTATAGTAATATCTTCTTCTATTTGAATAAAAGTTATCTTTCTGTTATGTAGATTAAATTCTTTCTGAAATTTATAATTTTTTGTAATGCTTTTAGCTTTCTTTTTATTAGTAGTATATGGAGTAGATCTTTGATTTTTGGTGATGTAAATTTCTTTCTTATAACCTTCATTATCATCTTCTACTTCTAAGAAGTTTATATTTCTATTTCTGTTTGCATCTTTTTTTAATTGTTTGTATTGTTCAGTAGTAGTTTAATATTCAGCTATATAGTTTCTGGCTATATAGCCTGCTTCACTACAGTTATAGCAAATAATTTTTGGTTGAGATTGAATTCTATTTAGTTGGTTTCATTAGTAATTAATTGGTCTAGATTTGGGTTTTTCATAAGGTTTATTAAGAACAGATACAATAGTTGCATAGTTTAAGCTCATTTGTTTTATTTGTTAAGTTAATACTTTAATATTCTTTTCTAATTTGTGAGTATTATTGCTCGAGGATAAGATTAATTCTATCTGCTGAGCAAAGTCTTTTTTTTGTTTATATTATTGAACTAATTATCAAGTAGTATCTAAATCTTCAGAATTATGCAACATGATTATGAGTAATAGTTCAGGTTTTACATTTTTTTTAAAGTAATATAACTGCTAAGTAGCATTAGTAATATTATATCTTCTGATTAATTTATTGAATCTACTATAATAAGATTCTATTGCTTTATCTGTTTCTTGTTTAATAGCTTCTAGTTTATATAGCTATTTATTTTTTTATCATTAAGTATAAAGTTAAGTTTAAAATTATCTGTAATAGCAGTCCAAAGATTACTTCAATTTGGTGTTCCTGCTGTATTTTGAGTTGCATAGAAGGTTGTTTGCTATTCATCAGCAACTCTATGTAAGAAACCAGGAAAAATATCTCTTTTTCCTTTACTATTCTATCTATTAGCAGTAGTAGCTTTCTTAAAGTATTTCATCTAAATATATAGATCCTGAGTACTATTACAAGTAAATAGCTCTACTTTAAGCAGAAGAGATTTACTAGTATTTGCCTTAAGGTAGTTCATGATATTATCAGTTGTTGTAGCTATTATTAAGTTTATAAATAAAAGGAGATTGTTCAAAGGTGATGAGAATAGAGTTGTCAATAATGAAGTATTAAATAATAAATCAGGAGTAACTATCTGATTATTATAAAATAGTAATTCTACTAGAGAGTTTAATTAGATATAAGTATTTGGAATTTGTTGTATTCTTTTTATGAGTTGGTCAAGAGGTTTAGTGTTATCTAGTTCTTTTTTAGATAAATGAAATAGGTTTTTCTCAAAATAGTTAATATATAATAATAATACTGCAATTTTTCCAATTATTTTACGAATATTACCAGATGAGTTGTTATATCTAATACTATATATTATCTTGAAAATAAGATTTTTGTATTAAGATAATTCAAATTGTAAATAAATATTTCTAAAATTATTAAAGTATTCTAATATTTTGCTAGTAAAGTTTACTGCAGGGTATTGTTTACTATACCAAGTAATAAAATTATAAAAGGAGGTGAATAATATAGAAGTTAAAATAGGGTAACAGATATCACAAGAATCATCTGATTCAACAAGTAGATTCAAAGTATATTGTTTTTGATATCTAATTATGTTTGTTAGATACTTTGTAAAATCAAAAATCATTCAAAATTAAAAATAAATATACTAAATTAAAGAAATAGGTATTATAAAAAGATTCCTTATGTCTACATTTTGGCTCATGGGAAACAATTAAAAGAATAAGAAAAAAAAACTTTTACAAGTTAATAGTAGCTTCAACTTGTTTAAGTTGAACAAAATAAAGATTAGCAAGCTTTAAATCTTTTATAGTAAAAATGAAAGAACTGTCTGTCTGTTCAGTTGAATTAATTAATTTATCAATTTCTTTCTCAAGGTAGTTTTTGTAAGAAGGTGTCTTCAATACTTGAGTATTTTCAATATGTTGTAGTATTTGTGGAGTTGCAATTCCTCGTCTAGTTATAGATATCACTCTTAATAACTATATAAACTTTTAATTTTTAGAAAAGTATCATTTTAGAATATTTGATACTATGCTATTGCTTGTTCTCACTTAGGAAAATATTGTTCTTTAGTTCTTTTTAGTTATAATAGTAGTCAAAAAATCCAAATTCTATTAGATATTCACTGAGATATTAGTATCCAAAGTTTGTATAACCAATATTATTAAGTTTCTTAGAGAAGCTTTCTTTAGCTTTCTTTGCAGATCAAAATCGCTAAAACTATTTTGAAACACAAATAACGGATTCCAGAAGGATTTTCTACTAAGGTAATACTTAGTATAAAAGATGCAATAGGTTTTCAAGAATATACAGTAAAGATTTCAAGTAGATTGGTCCAAAACTGATTGACTTTTCTTAGTAGTGAGTAACTTCAATTTTCTTTAGTAAAGGAGAACTTTATCTCACAACAGGTACCTTCAAATCAGAATAGTAATATGGATTAGACAACTGATGAGTTAAGTCTAGCACCTAATACAGATATTCAATTAATTTCAACTATAGAGAAAATATTCTGATCAGAAACCCCAACTCAATATATGTCATATAGCTATGTACTACAAGCAGATGGAGAGTAGAACAAACTCATAAATACTAATAATACTAATACATGAATTGAGATCATTAATCAGAACTTAGCAAATAAGGAGCTAGACCTATTTATCTATTAAGAATAGATACTAGATAAGATTCTACAAAACTTAACCACACAAGAAGGTCTCAAAAGCTTTACACAGTATAAGCTTATAACAAAACCAACTTAATACATAATCCTTCAAGCAATCATACTCAAATTTAAGCACAAAGATATAGCTTTCTTCACAACATTTACTAGAACTAAACATTCAAAACTAGCTCATCAAATCCAATATAAACAGCTCTTCACTCAAGCTTTGAACAGATACAAACAACAGTATGATATTACAATTATGAACAGACCTACTAGAAACCTCATATATACAAAACTAAAACAAAAACTTGCTATAAATTGTCTAACAAATGCAGAGTTCAGAGCCTGTTTAGTAAGCAGAATCTATAGCTTAATTAGATACTGCAAAAGTTTTATGAAAGATACTATACTAGTAGATTCAGCTGAGTTAAGGGGACTAATTAGTTAAGTAATAGAAGAAATATTACCAGACCTTTCAAAATCACCAGAACTAATATCTGAAGAAATTAGTAAAGATCTTCTATTTGAGCTACCTATTACTAAATACTCAAAGATGAGAGTAGTCATTGTCTGCTTTCACACTCTCTTCAAATTTAAAATGCTACCAAACAGTTTCTTCAAGATACTTCCACTTTTACTGAATGAGTCTAAAGATCTGATCCTAGCTTTACAAGATTTATTCCTAATAACAAGTTACAAAGAATTATGAAATCTTTTTTATTATAAAAAGAAACTATAAGATTATTATGAAATGAAAAGAATTCTTACTTTATACTTTAATTTTCTTAAACCAAAGGAGCCACTTCTTCTAGTTTACTAGAAACTTAACTCAAGAGTTAGATATTTATTTTCACTAGATTTATCAAAGCTAAACATATCACTTTCTGAAGTTGTTAAAAGGCTAAGAGAATACTACTTCTTCAAACAAATTCTTAATGACTTCTTCAAACCAAAGCCAAGACTATCTCTAGATATTTCAAAGATTAAGACTAATACAACCTTTAGTTATCCTATTGAAAATGATATAAAGATAATGAAGTTCATACAAAAAACAAAGCTATACTATCAATATAACCTGCTACTATCTGCTACAATTATAGTTGCTAATTCAACAAACAAACCTTGGCTTCTGAAAGACCCAAGTCTAATTAATAACTTCAATCTTATCTTACCTATTACATCATCTAAACTAGTAAGAGAAACAGCAAAAATGCTTTGCTAATACTACTACTTTATTAAGTTATCAGAGACCTGAATAGACCTCTAAGTAGAAACAAATGAATTAAACAAAGTTGTTGAAATCAAAATAGAAATTCTAGAAACAATAGAGGTTATTTATAATTATCTGCAAACAAAAGAAGTAGATATAACAGACATCTTACTACTAATTACAGAACAAACAGCAGTCATACTAACAATTGATTTCTTGTATCAACACTTCAATTTTAAGAATATTCTGAAATTTTTACTTAAACTACCTTCTCTCTCTAAGCCTTCTTAGGAGATCTTTAATAACACTAATGACTACTGAATTATTATCACTAAAAATCAAACAATATACTACTTCTCTAATTATCAGAACACACAATATACAAGGAATAAATAATAGTATTAAATTTCAACAATAGATAGAATTCTGTAATTCAAGTAGCATGGATATTATTAGTATTACAGAAACAAAACTAGCACAATTAAAATTCACTAAACATACCTTCAATAATCTATACTAACAAGTTTTTATATTTAATACAACTACTGACAAAGTACAAAAGCATGAAGCTAGTATGAGTACTGCAATTGCAATCAAAAACTTCCTCCAACTATATATTTATAATATTATATCTTATTCTGGAATAGCTATAGCAATTGATTTATTTTTACTAAATAACAATAAATTTAGGATGATCTCTATTTACTTTCTATCTAATAATATAATTCTTCTAAATGCAATATATCAAAAGATACTTGATTAGATAGAGTATGTAAATAAGCACAATCTGCAACTCATAATTCCTAGTAACTTCAACTTGAATCTAGAAAGGAAGGGTGATACTTCTAAACTACTTTACAAATTACAAAAAATAGATCTTCAGAGTATACTAAAGTTATTCAAAGTTGCTATACCTATATGGAATAAATCACATCTTACAAGTCAAATTGATGATATATTTGTCTCACAAAATATTCTCAATACCTTTCTATCTCTGAAAATTATCAATACAAAAGCAATAACAGAAAGTGATCACAAAGTAATAACTATTGAAAGGTGTATTAATCTATTTAATAAAAACAAAGTACAAAGAAGAAGAGGTAACAAAAGATTAATATTCAAGTATGATAAGATGGATCCTAAAAAATGACAAGACTACACTCAAAATATCTTAAAGGAAATCTCCAAAGATGACAAACTACAGAATATAATTATTGATATCATATATCTGAATAAGGCCTGGCAAATATTTAGCAATGTAATTATAAAGAATACTAAAAAATATATCTTTTGCACATCTAAAACCTCTTAGTTATTTAATATATATACTCTAATTGTATCAAAGATCTATAAAGCCCTTACTATTTTGAACAAAACTTTAAGAATAATTAGAAACACTACTTCACAGCAGTATATTATAAAGATAAACAAAAGTATCTCATTAATTAATGAACTAACAGATATAGATATTAATCAAATTAATATTACAGATCTTACAAATGATCTGTTATTAACAATACAGAACTTTAAAGTATATAGAAAATCTCTATATACAGCAAGACGAATTAAAAACAATACTACTCTAAAAGATAAAATACAAAGACATATCCAAAACAGATATGATAACTTTAAAGTTAATATAACTAAGATGATAAATAGTATTCTATATAGGCATATAGACTATGTACAATTTCAAAATATAATAATATCTGAAGAAGTAATCACAGATCCTGACTTAATTCAAGAGCATATTAAGAACTACTTTGAAAACTAGACACGTTCAAATTCTAATAATAACCAAGACTGGGTATACTGACAAGACAAGCATAGGCCAAAGAATAATATACTCACTACTTGATATAACATAATATTTTAGGATATAACACTAGCAGAGCTAAAGAACTGCATAGTAATAGCACTCAACAAAAAAGCAATAGAGCTACACTAATATCTAATAAAATTCTAAAACATCTAGATAAACAAACTTTAAACTATCTTCTAAAGATATTTAATGCTTGTCTAAAACTAGAAGATATACCTAATGCATAAAATCATAATCTAATATATCTAATATCTAAAAAACCAATCTTTACTAGTCAATTAAATTATACATGTCTAATATTACTAATTGAGTATATAAGAAAAATCTTCACCAAGATTATCACAAACAGACTTAGCAATATCTGCTTTTCTTATCTAATTTTGAACAACTCTAACTTTGTTATACTACTAGACAACTTAACAACTACTCTAATAATAGTCCTTTCTCATCTAATAAAAAACATACAAGTATGGAACAAAGAGATTTAGATGTTAGCACAAGATATAAGCAAAGCCTATGACTCTGTTCATATACCCTTATTAGAAAGAGTACTTTACAAAATTAAAGTACTACTATCTCTTATTAACTTTATTACTAATATATTTACTTATCGTTTAAACTCAGTCATTACAAATTTTGGTAATACTAAACTATATCAGGTTCATGACAGAATTGATCAGGGTAAAACAATTACTCCTCTACTCTGGAGAGTATATTATAATCTCCTTCTTTTAAAAATAATGCAACAGCATATAGGCTATACTATAGAAGGCACAAATAGCTCCCTTACCTCAAATTAAACAATTCAAACTCAGGTATTAGCTTATATAGATGATACTCTGTAGTTAGCTAATAACAAACAAGAACTCTTACAAATTTTGAAGATAGTATTATCATTCTACAGACTTACAAACATTAAGGTCAACCTAACTAAGTCAGTACTTGCTACTAATACTAAGTTGCAATCCTCTTCAATTACTTTTAAAGGTACTCAAATAAATACAATAAGCATAAAAGAGATCTTTAGATTCTTAGGATGCTAGTTTATGCTAAGGAAAAATCAAAACACAATTTACAACTTAATCATACAAGAAGTAGATGATTCATTACAGAAGCTGAGGATAGCTAAGATTACTGAAAAGCAAGCTATCTATATAATAAATATCATCATCCTTACTAGACTAGTATATAGAATCCTAAATACTTTCCTTAATACCTCAACCATGAGTAGAATTACTAACAAATATACGAATATCACTAAGTATAAGGCTGGCTTAGCTTCTTCCATCCCAAGCTCTACACTCTACTGCCATAAGATATATAGCCTCAGAACAGTAGAAGACATACAGGCATAACAGAATATTTCACTTATTCATAATCTAATCAACTTTAATTACGAGTTTAGCTCTATTTTCAGAAACAGAATACAACAACTACAAGTGGCAGTAGTAATAAACAAATTTATAATTACTTACAATCTAGTTATTTTTGCAGTACCAGAAAATAATATAACTACTGCAAAAAGAATACTTCAAGTCCATAGCCTACACTGCTTATTCACTAATACAATATCTAACTAGCTACTCATATTACAAAAAACAGAAAATAGTATAAATGCTTTAATTAAAACTCTTTCAAATGCTGTAGCTATCAAAAAATATTCAAATAAAATAGAACTCTACTTTGTTGAACAAGTCCTGAACTGAAACTATACAATAACCCTCCTATAGAGATTCTTGTCACATAATATCATGAATATACTAAGAGAGAAAGAGCCTAAATAGTATAAGCAACTTACACAGGCAATAACAAATAGTAGTATCACTACTACTACTAATAGTGATTTGTAATACCCTAATTTATATATTATTAATTAGATACCAATAGCTAAAAACAATTAGATTTTGCTATTGGCAAACAATACAATATTAATCTATAAAGTTATATCTATTACTAAAAACAATACAGCTAAATTAAAATACTAGAAGCAATATTCAAATCAAAAACTTCTAGTACTATGCAGAGGCTATATGACAGACAGTACCAGTTCAGAATCTATACAAAGATCCTGTCAACTATATATAGAAGCTACTTCAGCTATACAACTATGAGTTAGCAAAATGATGAAACTTTACTCTAATATAAAAAAATTACCCTTTTTATACAGAACAAGAAAGTAGTGAGAGCAAACAAACAAACAAATGATAGAACAAAAACAAATATAGTATACTTGAACAAAAAAACAAAAAAGAATCTAGAGCTTATTAACAATATTATCTCTGAAACTAATGTTTAGAACAAACTTACTAGTATATATATACAAACTAGATACAGCATATATATAACTACAACTCTAAATACAAAAATAATAGAAAATACTAATACAAAGACAAAATACCTAGTTGCATACTGAAGCATACTAAATACAGATATCAACCTCTTAGTCAAAACTAGTATATAGCTAAGCAAAGTTCATACAATACTTACAGCAATAGTAACAATTTTGCTTATACTGCCAACTGAATGCAAGCTAATACTAATATCATTGTCACAACAAATATATAGACTATTTAAAACACTAGCTGATAGCAATCACAATATAAGAAATAAAATACTAAAGCAAAAAGAATAGCCACTATAGCTTCTGATATATATATTATATCATAAGAAGTAGCTCAAAGTTACTGTAATAATAACAAGTAACTAACATAACAATAAACCTACTACACTACTAGAAGTAAACTTTAATTTTGATCAAGTCAAATATAATACTATTACTTGCAATGGTATAACAATATTATTATACATCAGCTCAGATACTTTATATAATATATTAATAATACAACTCATCTCACAGAATAGCACTCTTAGAATAGAACCCTCAAATAGAACTTATACAGAGAAAAAATCAATTGGAAAACAATAATTAAGAATCTAAACTACAACTGTTTACTAACAAGCAGAAGTACATGCCCTATGTACTCAATGCTAAAAGTATTCAAAGTTAAGCTGCTATTAGATAAACTACTAGTTACAACTAACTTAGCAAAGAGAAATTCAAACAAATACTCATTTACACTATGTAAAGATGTAATAAAAGATCAGAGGACAACTAGTACTGAATTATTTGTTCAAAAAATAATTTTATACTAGAACAAATTATAACTAAATATATGAATTTAATACTCAGTAAAGACTCATAACTACAGCTAACTAAGGAGATTAAAGAGGTTATACTCTTAAATATAATCTATAATACAGAAGACCTAGAGGCCAATTCTATTTAAATTATCCATAGCTTTATTCCTAAAGCTATATCACAATTGCTAACTTCTATTAATAGCATATCCAAGATAATGAAATCTCACAAACTCTTCTATAAGATCCAAAAAATTCTCTAAAATAAGATTTGAACCTACAGATATAAAGAATGGTATGAAACCAATAATATAACTTTGGATATAAAGAGAATACAAGTTGAACAAAACCAGAATGGAAATACAGAAGACTCTATAGCTATACTATCCAAACAACAATGTATCTAATACAAATTGAATACTTGAATAGAAAGGTTTATTATTGCTAAAGCATCTTCAGATATACTTGCATATATAATAGACTAGGTAGGGCTTTGGTCTCTTCTGGTTAAAGAGCCTAGGCCGAGAGTAAACTAGCTCTAGTTTTTAGTTTTAAATAGATTAGATATACATCCTTGTAAAATTATAATATAATAAATATTATTATCTGAATAAAAACTAAAGCAAGACCTTCCTCTTCCAAAAAAAAAAAAAAAAAAAAAACTAATAATACTTACTGTTAGCTAAAATTAATTTTAATACTAGCTAAAATTAATCTTAATACTAGCCAAAATTAATCTTAATACTAGCCAAAATTAATCTTAATACTAACCAAAATAAATTTTTAATAATAACTAAAATTAATCTTAAAGTTAGCCAAAATTAATTTAATACTAACTTGTCTTATTATTAGTAATTTTTAGATCAAGATTAAATTGAATTAACTCTTAACTTGAATCTAATCTAAACCTGATTTAAAATTTTTAGATTAATTTTTTTTAACCTAAACCTAACACAAACTTTCAGATTAGGTTTTTTTTTCAGATTGACTTAACACAATCAGAATACTAGACAAGAAATTTCAAAAAGCTTTATCTTAAAAAAACTTATAAACAAGTTAGTATATTGAGTATTTCAAGAAAGAAATATAAATTAATTATAGAAATTTATATAGAAAAATAGCTTTAGAAGTTTTAAAAAAAAATTTAGAAGTTTAAATATAAAGAAATTATAAAATAAAAAAAATAAAAAGGAATTACAAGCAAAAATAAAAGAAGCAAACTAAATAAAAGAAAAAGAAATATATTACTTAAAACAAGTAACTGAATAGTAAAAAAGAAAAAAAAGAAGAATACTTAGTACAAGAAATAGCATTTAGTAAAGTAAAAACATAAATCTATACAAAATATATTCAGTCTTAGTTAATGTATTAAAGCAATTATGACAGGCTACAAATCCTAGCTGATAAAGTTTGAGACATTCTCTTTTAAAAAAAAGAATTCTTAAAAATAAAGTAAAATTTTGTTATAGCTAGTCAAACATAGATGTCTTAAATAATAACTAGATTAGTCATACTATTAAGATTAAATTAGCATATCTAGCTTAGAGAATAGATAAAAATATATGTATTTATATTTTAATTTTCCTAATAAATCAAAAAGAAATAGTATGACCGCTAAAAAAAAAAAAAAATCATTTTACATATAAATTTATTATTAAGTTTTATACATTTAGAATTTTTAATTTATTATCATCCAAAAGTTTTATTGCTTTTTTATAAGATCATTTTACTTAGTTTTATTATTTTATGTAATTTTTATAGTTTGTTATCTTTTAATAGTTTCATAATTTTTGTTAGTCTTATCGCTATTTGCTAGTTTCGACACCTTTTATTAGTTTCGCCACCTTTCGCCAGTTTCGCCACCTTTCGCCAGTTTCGCAAACTTTCATCAGTTTCGCCACCTTGCATCAGTTTCGCCACCTTTTGCCAGTTTCGCCATTTCGCCATTTCCAAATTTTTTTGGCGAAACCTTTAGGTTTTGCCTAACAACTATAGCACTACGTTGTACAGTACATACAGTAATTTGGATAGCGATAAAGTTTAGGTTAAAACATAACTTTCTTTAGTGAAAATTTATTATTATATTATTTATTGTCAAGTGCCTTTTCAAATACCTACATTAGCTATCTTTTTTTGTCTTAGGTGTTATAGTTGTTTGTTGATAAAGGTTTCGCATTTACGGAAGGTAAAACCTAGTTTCAGCTTTCGTCAAAAATTTTTAAAATGACAAAATGGCGAAACTGGAGAAAGGTGACGAAAGTAGTAACTATCGCTATCAAAAAGTAATAAAATTATAAAGATAGCAAAACTTAAATAATAAAACTAAGAAAAATGTTCTTGTGCGTTACGGTGAATCTGCGAAACAAACACCTTAAAATAAAAGAATTTGAGTGTGTTAGCTTAATTAACCTTATATACAATACTAGTACGTATACGTATGATTTAAGTGCTGCAAGCAAAAACCTACGTATAAGTAAATATTTAAGTTATCGCAGTAATAGACTTATCATATGTACTATATCAGATATTATAATATGATAGGGTTTGCTACAGCGGTGCCGCTCACTTCACCGACAGTCATTTCACCGAAAGTTCATTTAGCCGACATCACATGGGGTTAGGGTTAGGGTTTTATTAGTTTCAGGTATATATTTTTAGTAAATTGTCACTTGGAGTGATGTCGGCTAAATGAGCTGTCGATGAAATGATTGTCGGTGAAATGATACGGATCCCTGCTACAGTGATAACTTAAATATTTACTTAACAGGTTTTTGCTTTGCAGCACTCATTTCATTAAAGTAGAATATCTGACTTGATATTGATTTATAATATACGACAATAATATAGCTTATATTTGTATTTCTAATTATTATAAAACAACTTTTCTCATGATAAAAAGAATCTAGATAAAGTCGGCGTTGCTAACAGCAATTTTTGATCGTTATATACTCCTTTGAACTAAAATATTTTTTTACAACTTTTATGAAAATAAACATTCTGGTATGTGGAAGTTATCATCAATATAGTACAAAAATGTAAAAATAAATACCGGTAATTACGAAATAAATAATACAAGTCACTCTAGTTATAGTGAACTCTCGTTATAGTGGATCTCTCGTTATAGTGGATCTCTCGTTATAGTGAAGAACAGTTCATATAAATATCCTCTTGATATAATGAATTTACTAATGAACTCTCGATATAGTGAAGAAAATCTCACAGCCTGATCACTTCACTATAACGAAAGTGACTTGTATTTAATTAGTTTTATCGATATATTTTTAACAAATAATTTCTAATGACTAATTTTTAACCGATTGCTTTTAAAATTCTTTTTCACTCAAGTTTGATTTAAGATTCCAAATCAAATTAAGTAGATTCAATATTCACTTAAGTGTATTCGGAATCCATTTACAACATAAATATTAGCGTTAGAATGAACATAAATTTGCTTTGATTAAGAAACTTTGCTAGCTATAAAAATAAATAAATAAACTAGATTTTGCCAACCTAACTTCAAGTTTGTAACTAATCAGATTCATGATTTCAAACCTTTGACCTAACCAAATTTTTATGAAATTTTTTTTATATTAATTTATGAAATGAGTAAGATCTAATCTTTATTGAAATAAGTGACGTATATTTGAATTAACTCTTATTTACGGTTTAAATTATTTTGAAAACTATTACATTAGGGGTTTCAGACGCCTAATTCGAAAGAAATAAGAGAGTATTTGTTTGCTTAGATTGCAGGAGGCAAGACTACATCAACAACTAAACAAATCAATAAGGCGATAACGTTACTCGAAACAAGTAGAGCGGTGATTTGATTTGGATTTGGTAAGGCGAGTTTAGAGTAAGTTGTGAAAAGGAATATCAATATTACTTTTTATTAATTTAACTTATTAATTTAACTTATTAACGAACGACTTTATTTTTATTCATTAAGAGGAAGCAGATACACGGTCTATTGCTTTTTGTAGGGCGAAAGAATAACCCTTTTATAATTAATCAGAGAGTAAGTAGTCTAAAACTTCTACAGTATCTTTTTTTTTTATTTTTTCAACCCAGCCTTCGCTCTCTAAGCAATTTCACTAATCTTTATTTTTCTTATTTTGTAGGTCCCGATTACGAAAACGTTCCCGCGACACAGCCAAGATAAGTTTATTCTTCTTTCTCCTTTATCCCGGGCACTATATAATAATTACTTATTCCTTATTAGGTTAATGCATATGTCGTTATGGTTGTAATACTGGACGAGGTCCGGTTTTGGGGCTTTTCCTTTCATCGTACGATAATTGTTGGGTGTTCACGATTCGTTATTATTATCGTTTATACGGGCAAGTTAGCCTCCAATAACGACGCTTTTACAATAAACTACATCACAAATAAAAAAGGGCACATATTTCATTTTCTGATTTCAAAATTTTAATATGATTGTTTATGATAAAACCTTCTATTCATAAAAAAAAAAAAAGTTTTATTTCATGAAATAGAAGTCGATTTTTTCACTAATTCTTAAACCCCATTTATATAAAAATTTTCATCGAATTTTTTTTTAACAGTTAAGTTGTTTTCTGAGATATCTACTAAGCTTGAAAAAAAATATAATATATCGAAGAATAGCCGACCACGTGATCTACACATTTTCCCGATCTTTATATTTTACAGATCAATGCTATCTGCTATTAAAATTTTTCAGATCTACGAATTTCAGATTTTACAAATACCCTAAATATTTATACTATAAATATATAGTCTTTTTTTTATAATGTTTGGTGTTTATAGATTTCATAGTTTTCGGTTGGGTTTACGATATATTGATAATAATAATAATATACTAAAATTTCGTGGAATCGGAAGATATGAAAAGAGAAATTGGTATTGTTATAAAGGAGTGAAAGGTACAGTAATATAAATTATTGACTCATTAATTAATTCATACTGTAGATTGAAGACGATCAAATAATTTTTATGAACTTTATTTTTGTAAAGTAACGCAAAAAAATTATATATATTTATATATATTAAATTTTCAGATTCAAGATTTTACTCAACTTTCAAACTTATTTGCAAAAAAAATCTTATGATGATAATTCAAAAAACAAAATTTATTTTTTATGTGCTCTTCATACTTACAACAGTATTTCCAATTGTTCATTCTTTTCAACAACCTATAGTTGAGGAGAATATTGAATCATTAAATGTAGCCAAATTTCATACAGACGACACTTTAAAAGTAGTTAATCAATCTCCACGAAGGATAATAGCTGTTGGAGATTTACATGGAGATTACGAACAAACTCTTAAAGTACTGAAAATGACTAAAATCTTGGATGAAAAAGAAAAATGGATCGGGAAGAATGGAATTTTAGTTCAAACTGTAAAATATTTTAAGATAAAATTATATACTGTAGTTAATGTTTCGGGGGAAATTATTTTTGAGTTTCGCCCTATAAGTCCGAAATTAATTTCGCCCAATTTTGATATGCAAAATTGAATTTCGCC